ATGGATTGAACTGTGTCACCCCAAAATATCTGTCAACTTGGCTAGGTCAGGATTCCCAGTATTGTATGATTGTCTACAATTTTATCATCTGATGTGATTTCCCTGTGTGTTGTAAATTCAATCACTACAATGTAATTAGATGGATTAGCGGCAGTTATACTGATAAGGTATACAAGATTGGATAGTGTCTTAAGCCAATCTCTTTTGAGATATAAAAGACAGAAGTGAACAGAGACACATAGGAACCTGATACCACCAAGAAAGCAGTGCCTGCAGCACAGCGTGTCCTTTGGACCTGAGGTTCCTGCGCTGAGATGCTCCCAGACCAAGGGAAGATTGATGCCATGGGCCTTCCTCCAGAGCTGACAGAGAAAGTGTTCCCCTGGAGCTGACGCCCTGAATTTGGACTTGTAGCCTACTAGACTGTGAGATAATAAATTTCTCCTTGTTAAAGCCATCCACTTGTAGTATTTCTGTTATAGCAGCACTAGATAACTAAGACAATTACCTATATAAGACCAAACAGTCCACCATTACTTTAAAACAAAGATGAGAATGTAAGGGGACAGGGAAACTAGATTAACGGGAAATGGACAAACAGAATGCAAATAATGAGAATGTTCACACAAATCTTCCAAATATAATCAATGTCACTGAACTACTTGTGTAGAAATTGTTGAATGGGAACGTAAACTGCTGTGTAAACCTTCCTGGGGAAAAAAAAAAAAGTGATAGCTGCCAACTCGACACTGAGGAAGAAAAGTTGCAAAAAGCAGACATGAGAACTCAAAAAGCATAGTAATTTGGGATCATTTTCCACAAGAAGTGTGTTTGCCTTAATAGCTCCCAAGGCCTTCCAGTCTTAAGGGACAGTTGCAGTATTGGGTGTTCTTAAGAATGACAACTGTAGATAGGAAGAAGCAGTTCTTCAATCTTCAAAACTATTTTCATTTTGAATATAAAGTGTTTGTTTTAAATGTTGATACTAAATGTTCAATAACAATGAGCTGCAGTTGACATTCCCAAGCAAAAGGTGATGTCAAGCCCTATTCAGTCAAGCAGCCAAAGGCAAGAACATTCTTGTCTTGTTGGTCACCTGATGCTGAACTTTCTGTTTTAAAGGCCAATAATTAAGGAATTTGGGACTAGCACAAGAATCAAAGAGCAGTGGGATGAAGACAACAGGAAGCACACACACAGACACACATGAAGATAAGAATGTAGTAAACGAGCACCCATGGGGAAAGGATGGTTTGATTATCAAATAGTGGTGCAGGGACAATTGGCTAATTGCTTAGAAAGTCATAAAATTACATCTCTGCCTCATAGCAATACAGCTAAATAAGAGTCTAATGTATATTAAAGAGTTACATGTAAATAAACAAAAACTGGAAAACAACATCCAACAATAGATAATCGGTTAAATTGTGGTACATCAATACTATAGATAACTAGTCATTAAAATCATGTTTTAGAAAAATATTTAATGCTCATGATATACATTATTAAGTAAAATAGTGGCTACAAAAAAAGTATATAGCTTATGATCACAAATTTGTAAACTAATTCCCACAATGTATATGGGAGTATGCACCCTCACACAAGCACACACACACACACATTTGGAGTGTTTTACTGCTTTGTTTTTACCAAATGTTCCACAACAAAGATTATTTTTATAATGATAGTTATTTATAAAATTAATTTATGATGACTCTAATATTAGAATAATTTGAAATAATTTCTTTGGTACAAGAAAGTATAAACAAGTTTGGAGAGCATATCCCCTGAAGGCTGGGAGTCCAGTTGGCCGAGGAGCCCTTTTTCCTAATACTCCCCCACAAAACAACTGAACATGAATTTACAAACTCTTCTGGAACCTGACACCATGTGTAGCCTGTACTTCTCTGGGGAGGAAACCTGCTGGCTCAGGGCTGGAAATCTGCTCCTGTGGCGGGCCGTGAGATAGTGCACGAGTGGCCCAGGTGAGCTTACCTCCATTTCCAGGAGAAAATATAAAGTTAATGGTTAGTGTTTTCTCAATTAAAATTCTTCTCCTATAAAATGTTCTTACAACTTTTGATGCCTGCAGTTACTCTATTAGAATCTAGTATGAGACTTTATCACATTTAGTCCTGATATATATTTAACTTTAATGATATACATATATATTTAGTACATCACCACTTCAACATGCACAGGTTCTCGAACGAATGAAGACTACGACAGCCTGGGTCCCTGTGTTTTTCACAAGTTCTCCAGGTGACTCTGAAACACACCAGCTCGAGACCCACTCTTGTTGCGTGTTCTAAAGTAGAGGGGCTCAAACTCAGCTGTAATTAGAATCACCTGTGCAGCTTTTAACACTCCCAATGCCTAAACCACACCCCGTACCACTTAACTCAGAATCTGCAGGTGTAGCCTGTGTATCAGTATTGTTTAAGCTCTCCAGGTGATTCCAATGTGCAGCCAGGTCTGAGAATCAGTGTTCTAATGAGAGCAACCGGATACACAGGTGCTGCAGTTCCGGAACCTGAGAAACACAGCTCTGCTAAAAGCGCCCAGTCTGAATGACTTTACGTTCTCTGTCTCCATCTGCTGGCCATTCCGTCACATTGCTATAATTCACCTATACAATTTGAGTATCCAAGACACTGCAGCTTTTTGTACTTTCTGTTTGCAAAATAATCAAAAAGAACCGAGAGCTGAAATTTTATAAAAAATACACAATATTTTATTGTAAATAATATGAAGGTCTAAGAGTTATAAAATGATTTTATACCCCACATGTACGAAGATTATAAAAACGAGGAAAAAGGTGAATTCTAAGATAGTATCTTTATTTTAATGATTTTCCCAAGGAAGTGGAGGCACACCTCTCTGAGAGTCATCCGAGAGCTCCTGGCACATATGTAGACTTTGAAATAGTGTATTTAACATTATAATAAAATTTTACATTTGGAAAACAAAAGAAAAAGGCTCTTCAATCTTTTATTCTCTTAATACAAATAACAAAAAAGTTTCAAATATTTTCATGTAATGATTAAGTTCGCTGGCATTGGAATCAAAGAGCCTGGTTCAAGTACAACTCTGCTACTTCCTAACTCTGTATACTCTTTCAGGTCACTTACACTGTTTTTTGGTGACAGTATCTGTAAAATGGGGATGTTAATAATAACTTCATCAGAGACTGTTGTGGGCAGGAAGTGCAATAATGCATTTAGGAGCCAGGCGCAATGCTTGGCAAGAAAAGGCAGCCAGTAACTGTTAGTTATTACTACTGTGATTATGCAGAAGACAGACCCTATCTATCAGGTACAGTGATGCTTGGGGGAGGAGGTGGTAGTCCTACTATACCTGGCACATCCTTTCTCCACCCCTAACCCCTGGCAACCACTGACGTCTTCTTGCCACCATAGTTCTGCCATTCCCATAGTGTCATATAAACAGAATCAAACATTATGTAACCTTTTCAGACTGGCTTCTTT